GGCGCTACGCTGGGGGCCCCACCCACTTCTTACCCATACTCAGATCGCGGGCTGCCGGGGGGGGGGGGGCAGCGCAGCGGGGTCCCGCCGCGGACCTAGATCGGACCTCGCGTTGCCCTTCGGGGGGTGCGATATGGGAAAGAGCTGCCACTTTCGAGGGGTGCTGGGGTGGGCAGCTCTTTCCTTCGGGCGAGGGAAATAACTAGTCACCTCCATCGAACCCTTGTCTATCGATCGATGCCTGGCGAGTCGCGCAGCTCGGGGGGGCGTTCGCAACAAACCTAAGTCTTTGCCACGGTCCCCCCGGTAAATTCCCACCTGTTCTTTCGGCCGCGCGTTGCGCAAGGGTCGGGCGCGTCGTCGAGCAATTTGAAGAACAGGGTGCGCGCGCATGCTCTGATATGACAGGGGTTAAAAAGGGGAGAATGAGTTGGGGCGATGCTTGGCTCCCGTGGGTCGGTGCGAACTCATGCTTGAAAACAACTCGGGCAGGATAGCGTGTAAGTTGCACTATCCAGCGGGGCGTGGAGAATTCAGGGGCGGTGTGGGCGGGCGCTCCCACTTCCCGGCCCTCCCGCGTTGGTTCCTCCTTCTAAATGAGGCCCTCCTTCTCTTTCTCCCCTTGCTCCTGCGCCGCTCCCTGGGAAGTTGCCAACTGCGCAGCCGTCGCCGCCCGCGCGGGCCCCAGGGCAGGCCTGCGGCGCGGGGGCGCATGCGCATCCAAATGAGACCTCGCTGCTCCCTTGACGGCTGCGAACCGCGCCACTGTCGCCGCGTCCGCGGGCACCCGGGAGGTCCGGCGGAGTGAGACTGCACGCGCGTCCAAATAAGATTTCGCGGTTCCCCCGGCGGCTGCGAATCGGCAGCCGTTGCCGCTCTCGCGGGCTGCTTGGAGGTCCAGCGGGTGGAGGCGCACGCGCATCCAGACGAGTTTTGCGGCTTATTCGGGGGACTCCGATCTTCGAAACCGTCTCCGCTTTCGTGAGTTTCTGGGAGGTTCAGCGGTGGGGGCGCACGCGCATCCAGACGGACCTCGCGGCTCCTTGGGCTGCTGCGAATTGCGCAACTGTCGCCGCTTTTTCTTTGGGCCCCTGGAGAGGTCCAGCGGGGTGGGGGGCAGTCACTTCTAGACCTCGCGGCCCGGTGGGTGGCTGCGAACTGCGCAGTTGTCGATTTTTTCGCGGGCTTTTGGGAGGCGCGGCGGAGGGAAGGGCAGCGCGGATTATTTGAAACCTCGCAGCTCCCTTGGGGGCTGCGAGCTGCGCGACCGTGGGCCGCTGTCGCGCGCTCCTGGGGGGCGCGGCGTGGCGCGCCCGCGTGGCGCGTGCCCGCTTGGCGCGCGGCGCCGTCGCGTCACTTTGCGCTCGACGCTGTGCGCCGTTGCGTCGGAGGGAGTGGGGTGCCGGAACGTCGCGTAGCGAACGGCGGTATCCTCAGTGGCCGACTCCCGCGCAGGTGCGCGACGCGCGTGGCCCGACAATGCTAGGCGAACAGCTTCAGAGTTCTGGAAACATCGAGCGTGCGTGCTTTTTATATACTCGGCTTTTCAATGCATGAAAAATTGCTCGGCGCGGAGTAGGGCTGGGTCGGTCTCGGAGACTTAGTCACGGAGAGAAAAGAACCTGTGCTGTGCAATTCGCCCTACCGAACATAAGATTGACAACTCCACTGCTCGCGCAACCATCCCGCCCGCCCACCCGCAATTTGGTTTGCAAAACACATGCGGCGGCGATTGCGATGTCTGTTTGGCGAAGGCTGGCGCATCGCTGCGGCCGCGCCAGCCCACGCATGCTCGCGCACGCAGCGGCCAGCTAGTCTGGCGCGACCGACGCGGCCGCGGTGGCGCTGACCGCTGGGCACTTCCCCGCGGGCGCTTCAATGCGAGTCGACGAGTTGGGCGGGCGCGGTATCGCGGCAACATCGACAAAATTAGACACGCTGGTGATGATGATAACGATGCTGGTGACGATGGTGACAGCGACGACGGCAAGGCGAGTGTGACGGCAGAGGTGCTGACCACGCCAGCGACGATGACGTTCTCGCGTCGGTGATGAAGGTTTTGGGGGCGGTCCGACATGCGGGCGCGGCCGGCGGGTGAGAGCGGCCCGCATGGTGCTATTTGACGCGCGTCGTGCCCCCACCAGCACGCGCGCAAGGGAATTCGAATGATTTCGGCGTGCGGCGCAAGAGACCCGTTTGGCAGAATGTCATGCGCATGTTGAAAACAAAACCATACAATGTTCTTAAGAATTCGCAGGAGGGCATTTTTTGGATTTGGAAGACGGGTGGTGCAAACCATGTGTTTTTGAAATTGTTTCGGAACGTTCGATTTTGAAATTCACACGACACTCCATCGTTTTCCGTGCTAAAAACAAATCGGCATGCGCGCGCGACGACGCGCGCATGCGCTTCGCCCCATCAAACAATCTTGCGACAACGTGCGCGCATGGACGTTCGAACGATTTTGGAATGCGCGTCACGAAGGACTCGTTTGGTAGCATTTCCAGAACATGTCGAGTGCCCGCCGCACGAACTCGCGGACGCGATGCCGCTCCTCCCCCCGATCGTGCACCCGCATCCAGCTTCATGCTCTGCGTGTCACAGGACTCACCTACGCATAAGTGGCCACGAACTCACACGAGGAACTACACGCACACAGGGTTCCTTACGCATGGGGCGCCAGGCGTACAACTGTGCACGCACACGCGCGCAAGAACTTAAGCACGCAGGGCTCGTCTCCACAACCCGCGGACGAATCTACCGTCCGGGGCCCACAGGCTGGAATGAGACTTCCGTTCCAAACTTCTGCGCTGCAAGGAACCAGACCGCGGGCCACGGGGCACGCCACCGAACATCCAGGACCGCCCCATTTCAAAACATACTCGGGGGCCCTACAGTAGTCGATGCTGGAGGGAAGGAGAACCTGCCAGCGATCGCCAGTGGAAGGCACAGGGGAGATACAACTCCACGTTCGGCGGTACTGCCCATGGCCTTGGCAAGCGTTTTTGAGCGCGCCTTGGATTCTGGGACCCTTGGTGTAGCAAGGCCTCCATGGGCATCGGCCTCCCCAGGCGGGAGGGGAGGGCGGGAAACTGAACCCATACCGCGTTCCCCTGATCTCTCGTGGGGTGCGTCCCGACCATTTCGAGGAGAATCCAGCCGTGGCGACGAGGGAAGAGTAGTGGCATCGGGCATCGGTTATCTTTTCTCCTCCTGACCCGCAGGGCGGTTTTGAGCCCGCGAGTCTCCACGACGAAACGCCCGTTGTCAAGGCTCGAGGGCAGTGGGGCCTGCGGGCGAGCCGCGGCTGAAACGGGCGGCCCCGCCGCCCTAGCCGCTGGTGCCATGACGGGGTCCGGGGGCATCACCCGCCACATGCCCCCGTGCCCCGCGAGCGGGGCGGTGTGGGGCGCCTGGGGCAGGGAGAAGGGCATGACGACAGGGAGCCCAAGAATAGCGCCCGCCCGATCCGCCCCTCGGGGAACAAACGCGTCGAGCGAGTGGGGACTTCACCAGCGGCGAACATTACCGTATCCGCGCTCTCGCGGTCGCGTTCCCGCGGACGGATAAGTTCCGCGAAATGCATCCTTCAAAAAACTGCCAGTATCCGCAGGGTCGTGGCCCAGGGGGCCAGCCCGCGAGACTGCGGATACGGATATGTCTTTCGCCCACGAAACCGGAGGGGAGGTGGAGTTGGGAGGCAACTCCTAGGAGGTCTTCGTGAGAACGATTCAAGGAGAACAGTTCCGATCAAGGGGATTTGACCTGGATTAGACCCGATCAAGCCCGGGATTGGCCCACATCAAACGGGATCAACGGAATGTAAATGGTCTGCGCCGGATTACGCCAGTTCTCGACCACGGATATGCTAGCGACGATGCTGAATGTGACATCCAAGGAGTTTCATCCTGGTTGGTGGTAGGGTTTCCAGGGCAAGTGCGGATGAGAACTAGGAATCAGTCGGACCCCAAGAGAAGAGAATCGTTGCACGCAGGCAATGGGGCCAGGCAGACACGTCGGCGATTAGTGCCAACTGGGAAACATCAGATAGTATGAAGTAACCATCGCTAATCCGATGTCGGCGATGAAGGCCCCGACGCTGCAATTGTCCATGACAGCATTTATGACAATTGCGCCTGCCACTTAGCCACGGCAATCCACCCCTTACTGGACCTCTACAGTTGAGCTGAATCTGTCAGCTAGTCTAGCATATTGTGGACGCGTGCCATTTCCTAGAACAATATTCCACGGTGCTAAGGAATTCTCAGCGCGTGCCAAAAGAAACACCACAAATCCGCCCCAGACATGGTGGTCAAATCAATCAATGCAAAAATCAAGACAGATGCATATCCTTCGCAATCGCGATTTTCTCTAAGTAGCAAAATGTGGCCGGCCCATCCGAACCCTACAATCCTGCCAGCCGTCTGGCCGTGGGCGGTCCAAAGTACAAGGAAACTCTTCCAAGACGTTGGAGGCCTGGAAATGGGCACCAACACCAACAAAGGGGGTTGCCTCCACAGTGGGAAGATGATCCTAGATTTCGGCGTTGGTGGTAATATTTCGGCCACCTTGGAAGCCAGAAATATTACCACCATCACCGAGATCGGGATCGTCTTCCCTCGGTGGAGGCACACCGCCGATATTGGTGTTGGTGTCTACCGCGAGGCCTGCGAAGACGACCCCTCCTTCCCCCTCGGGAAGGGACATCAAAACCCCTAACTGCCCTTCCCCGGGGATCTTGACATGGAGGGGGCGCCGGTATCTCGGTGAGCAACCGAGGATGGGGCTGCGATGGCTCGGGGCCCAGGAGCCCAAGAGGAATCGGATCGCCAATAGATCCGAACACCCAGGAGCAACAACGTACTGGGTCAGATCGAAGCGAGACCCGCTGAGGTCATTAGAATAAGAAACAAACGCCATAAACATAAACTGTTGGCGCTCCACGCGGATTTCTTAGATCCGCGCTGGACCCCCCTCCCTGGCGCGCGTGGCGCGCCAGAGGCGGCGCTGCCTGGGGGGGCCCAGCGCGGATCCACGAGACCCGTGCGGAGCGCCAACAGTTTATGTCTATGGCGTTTTTTCTTCGTCGAGTCAGGGGTGACCATCAACTCGCCACTCTTCAGCCAGGGGCGACCGCTTCGCCCATAGACTCGAACACCCAGGATCAAAACCGCCCTGGGCCAGATCGAATGAGTATCGTTTGTCCGATCCCCATCCCCAGCGGCTTGGCCTGGACCCCACTGGCCGATTTACCCTCCTAGATGGGGATATAGGCCGTTCCCTTCGGGTCTCGAGGGTGGTGGGGGTCTCGAAGGGGACGGGGATGGGGACGTGTATCGGTGAAACGATACCGATCGAAGCGAGACCCGCTGAGGTCAGGGGTGGCCAACTCGCCACTCTTCAGGCTCTCCGGCTGGGCGGGACCAGCCCCGCCGCGCCCTGCAGCGCCTGAGTGCCGCGGCCGCGGGGCCCCATCGTGCGCGAGCCGGGGGAGGGAGCCCCGGGGCACTCGAGCTCGGATTGGGTCGGCCATGTCCCCCTGCAGGAGGCAGGTCCAAAGGTAACCAAACATGGTTTTGGGGGCGATGCTCGTCGGATACTTCCTGCACGTGTTTGAGCATGTCTTGACGGCGTCTCGAAAGTCTTGCCCCAAACCCCCCTGTTGGAGGACTCGCCCGACCCAGAGCTCGGAGGGTCCGCCCGACTGCACCCGAGGCCCCTCGCCAGCTCGTCGGGTGGTGGGCCACGCGGCCGCGAGGCCTGGGACGCCGCCGTGCCGCCGCAGCCGAGCTTCGTGGTCGGCGAGGGGTCCGTGGCCTCGGGCGACCGCGAGCGGGCCCCGTGCTCGAGAGCTCGGGGATGTCCCTCCAGCCCCCCCCCCTTGACGCCCAGTGCGCTGCCCACGCGGCGCGTGCCTTCTTCTTCGACCGTCGGACGGAGCTGTCTGATCCCCAAGTGGGCTGTGCCCGACACGCCCTCTGCGTGGCACGATGACGTGCATGCCCCCTCCAGATTTCTCGAGGCTCTCCCTCCCGGATTTCCCTTCGCTATCACTCAGGAAATCCTGAAGTATGCACGTATCCGCCACCGTGCCCCGAGGCACGAGATGGAGTATCCGCAGGTCCATTCGGACTCTCTGCGCTGAGTTCTGTAGACGTTCTTCCCAGACCCCCGATGTCATGATTTGCTCATAACGTCGACCCTCAAGGGTCTCAACCCATTCCCCTGGACCGGTTTTCATCCCGAGTCGTTTCTTGACGGTCCCGAGGCCCTGCAAGGGCCCCCAGATGCTGCAAATATGGAAAAACCTCCCCTCATGATTTTCACGTTGCCCGAGGGGGTCTGGGCCCTGCAAGGGCCCCCAGATGCTGCAAATATGGAAAAACCTCCCCTCATGTTTTTTTCATTGCCCGAGGGGGTCTGGGGACGTTCTGGAGAAGGCCCACAGCGTTCTCGGGCGCCCTTGGGCGCTACCCCAGGGTGCTCCTGGGGGATCCCCGCGTGGCTCGTCGAGGGGCCAGGAACGGGCTGTTCGGAACGTGCGCGTCCAACGTGATTTCGGGTGGCCCGGGGAACTGTCCTGGAGCCCTCTTGGGCCCCTCTCGGTCGCCTTGGAACCCCTGGGGCGCGGCCCTCGAGGCCCAGATCGGCAAAACCTAATTCGTTTTTGAAGGGTTTTCGCATTACCGCCTGTTCGGTCTTCAGGGCCTCCGTAACGGCCCAAGAAGCGCCCGAGATCGCGCTAAGACTGCCCAAGCGCCCCCAAGAGAGGCCCAAGAGGCTCCCAAGACGGCCCCAAGATGGGGAACACGAACTGAGGTTTCGAGCCCTCCACCCCAAGATGGCCCCAAGATGCCCCCAAGATCCCCCCACACGCCCCCGAGGTACGCGCGCGAGGCCCCAAGAGGCCCCCCAGAGGCCCGAATGCCCCAGGAGGCCCCCCAGGACGCCCCACGACCCCCACAACACCGCCTCCAGGCATCCGAGATGCATCCCCAAAGATCCTCACAGGCATCCAGGAGGCCTCTGACCTTCAACCCCGGTGAAGTTGCGGGATGGGCCGAATGCCACTAGACCTTGCCCGGCACAGAAACGGAAAGAGCGCTTCAGAAACAGAAACCGACATTACTCACACCACCGTTCGTACCGGGACCCTTGGCGTTGAGAGCTTGTTACGTCACCCCTCGCTCTTGGGAGCCTTGGTGTTCAGAGATTGTTGCGTGGCCGCCCGTTCCTGAGCCTTGGCTGGGCCTTGGTGTCAGGAACTTGTTACGTTACCGCTCTCGGCTGGGAGCCTTGGTCTTATCAGCTTGATGACGCATCGTTAGCTCTTGGGAGCCTTGGTGTGAAGAGCTTATTGCGCTACCGATCGCTCGTTGTTTGGCGTCTCTGGGCCTTCTTGGGAGTCCTATTGGGGCCCTTTGCGGGCCCTTTTGGAGGCCTCTTGGGAACCTCTTGGGGGCCTCTTGGGGCTTCTTCGGGGGCTCTGGGGGCCTCCTGGGAGCTGCTTGGGGCGAAAGGCTAGACTTTTCGGTTCGTGGTCCCCCTCTTAGGGCCGTCTTGGGGTCCTCTTGGGCCGTCTTGGGCGCCTCCTGGGCCGTCTTGGCGCCCTCTTGGGCCGTTTTGGGGGCCTCTTGGGAGCCTCTTGGGCCGTCTTTGGGCGGTCTTTGGGGCCTCTTGGACCGTCGTCAACGCCGTGAAAGCCGAAAGGCCTTGTATGCCAAAGATGTACATTTTCCAATCGGATATCAGTGATTTTGGCCTCCTGGTGGCCTCTTGGGACGCCTCTTGGGGGCCTCGTGGGGCTTCTTGGGAGGCTCTTGGGGCCTCCTGGGAGCGTCTTGGGGCGAAAGGCTCGACTTTTCGGTTCGTGGTCCCCCTCTTGGGGCCGTCTTGGGGCCCTCTTAGGCCGTCGTGGGCGCCTCTTGGACCGTCTTGGCGCCCTCGTGGGCCGTTTTGGGTGGGGGGTGTATGCTTAAAATGTACAATTTCCTATGGGAGATCAATGCTTTTGGCCTCTTGGTGGCCTCTTGGGACGCCTCTTGGGGCTTCTTGGGGAGCTCTTGGGGCCTCCTGGGAGCATCTTGGGCCGAAAGGCTCGACTTTTCGGTTCGTGGTCCCCCTCTTGGAGCCGTCTTCGGGCCCTCTTGGGCCGTCTTGGGCGCCTCTTGGGCCGTCTTGGGCCCTCTTGGGCCGTTTTGGGGGCCTCTTGGGAACCTCTTGGGCAGTTTCGGGGCGGTCTTTGGGGTTTCTTGGGCCGTCGTGAACGCCGTGAAAACCGAAAAGCCGTATATGCTAAAAATGTACGTTTCCCGATGGAAAATCTATGATTTTGGCCACTTGGGGCCCTCTTGGGGCGCCTCTTGGACGCTTCTCGGGGCGTCTCGGAAGCCTCTTGGGCCAATATTTGGGGCCTCTTGGGCCGTCTAGGGCCCTTCTGGGATGGAAAAGGGGGAGAAACACGAAGAACATACAAAACCTGGCCCGGCACAGAAACGGAAAGACTGCTGCAGAAACAGAAACCGAAATTACTCACACCACCGCTTGTACCGGGAGCCTTGGCGTTGAGAGCTTGTTACGTCACCCCTCGCTCTTGGGAGCCGTGGCGTTCAGAGATTGTTGCGTGGCCGCCCGTTCCTGAGCCTTGGCTGGGCCTTGGTGTCAGCAACTTGTTACGTCACAGCTCTCTGCTGGGAGCCTTGGTCGTATCAGCTTGTTTACGTAACTGTTCGCTCTTGGGAGCCTTGGTGTGAAGAGCTTTTTGCGTTACCGATCGCTCTCTATTTGGCGTCTCTGGGCCTTCTTAGGAGTCCTATTTGGGCCCTTTTGGAGCCCTTTTGGAGGCCTCTTGGGAACCTCTTGGGGGCCTCTTGGGGCTTCTTCGGGGGCTCTGGGGGCCTCCCGGGAGCGTCTTGGGGCGAAAGGCTCGACTTTTCGGTTCGTGGTCCCCCTCTTCGGGCCGTCTTGGGGCCCTCTTGGGCCGTCTTGGGCGCCTCTTGGGCCGTCTTGGGGGCGATTTGGGGGCCTCTTGGGAGCCTCTTGGGCCGTCTGGGGGCGGTCTTGGGTTGGAGCGTCTTCAACGCAGTGAAAGCCGAAAAGCCGTGTATGCTTAAAATGTACCTTTTCCTATGGGATCAATGCTTTTGGCCTCTTGGTGGCCTCTTGGGACGCCTCTTGGGGCTTCTTGGGGAGCTCCTGGGGCCTCCTGGGAGCATCTTGGGGCGAAAGGCTAGATTTTTCGGTTCGTGGTCCCCCTCTTGGGACCGTCTTGGGGCCCTCTTGGGCCGTCTTGGGCGCCTCTTGGCCTGTCTTGGGGCCCTCTTGGGCCGTTTTGGGGGCCTCTTGGGAGCCTCTTGGGCCGTCTTGGGGCGGTCTTGGAGGCCTCTTGGGCCGTCGTCGACGCCGTGGAGGCCGAAAGGTCGCGTATACTCAAAATGCACGTTTCCCAAGGAAAATAAATGATTTTAGCCTCTTGAGGCCCTCTTGGGACGCCTCTTGGGGGCCTCTTGGGGCGTCTTGGAGGCCTCTTGGGCCGTCTTGGGCGGTCTTGGGCTCTCTCGGAGCGATCTTGGGCTGTCTTGGAGGTAAACTCCAAAAACATGCAAAAACCATAGGGAACCCTTGCCCGGCACAGAAACGGAAAGAGCGCTGCAGCAACAGAAACCGAAACGACTCACACCTCCGTGCGTACCGAGAGCCTGGGCGTTGAGAGCTGGTTACGTCACCCCTCGCTCTTGGGAGCCGTGGCGTTCAGAGGTTGTTGGTGGCCGCCCGTTCCTGAGCCTTGGCTGGGGCTTGGTGTCAGGAACTTGTCACGTCACCGCTCTCTGCTGGGAGCCTTGGTCTTATCAGCTTGTTTACGTCACCGTTCGCTCTGGGGAGCCTTGAAGAGTTTTTTGCATTACCGATCGCTCTTGGCGTCTCTGGGCCTTCGTGTGAGTCCTACTGGGGAAGAGCTTTTTGCCTTACCGATCGCTCTTGGCGTCTCTGGGCCTTCGTGGGAGTCCAATTGGGGCCCTTTTCAGGCCCTCCTGGTGGCCTCTTGGGGGCCTCTCGGGGGCCTCTTGGGGCTTCTTGGAGGTTTGTGGGGGCCTTCCGGGAGCGTCTTGGGGCGAAAGGCTAGACTTTCGGGTTCGTGGTCCCCCTCTTGGGGCCGTCTTGGGGCCCTCTTGGGCTGTGTTGGGCGCCTCTTGGGCCGTCTACGGGCCCTCTTGGGTTGTTTTGGGGGCCTCTTGGGCCGTCTTGGGGCGGTCTTGGGGGCCTCTTGGGCCGTCGTCAACGCGGTGAAAGCCGACAAGCCGTATATGCTAAAAATGCACGTTCCTAAGGAACATATATGATTTGGGCCTCCTGTTGGCCTCCTGGCACGCCTCTTGGGGGCCTCTTGGGGCTTCTTGGGGGGCTGTGGGGACCTCCCGGGAGAGTCTTGGGGCGACACACTAGACTTTTCGGTTCGTGGTCCCCCTCTCGGGGCCGTCTTGGGGCCCTCTTGGGCCGCCTTGGGCATCTCTTGGGCCGTCTGGGGGCCCTCTTGGGCCGGGCCGTTTTGGGGGCATCTTGGGATCCTCTTGGGCCGTCTTGGGGCGGTCTTGGGGGCCTCTTGGGCCGTCGTCAACGCCGTGAAAAGCGAAAAACAGTATATGCTAAAAATGCACGTTTTCCTAAGGAACATCTATGATTTTGGCCTCCTGTGGCCCTCCTGGGACGCCCCTTGGGCGCCTCTTAGGGCGTCTTGGGGGCCTCTTGGGACGTCTTAGTGGCTGTCTTGGGCGGTCTTGGGCTCTTTTGGGACGGAAAAGAAGTGAAATCAGATTACGCTACCGAGGAACCCCACATACTTAATTTAAATATTATGTGTTTGCTTATGTATATAATGTATATGCACAATCCTGCGTTCTGAGCCCTCGTCGCGAGTGTTCCCTGCTAGGCTTTGCGCCAGTGTCGTGGATAGCGGCCGAGCTGAGAGACCACCCCCTGCGCACCCCCTGTGGTGTCGAGAAAGTGCCACGCCTGCTAGCCTTTGCGCCAGTGTCGTGGATAGCGGCCGAGCTGAGAGACCACCCTCTGCCCACCCCCTTTGGTGTCGAGAAAGTGCCACGCCTGCTAGGCTTTGCGCCAATGTCGTGGATGGCGGCCGAGCTGAGAGACCACCCCCTGCGCACCCCCTGTGGTGTCGCGAAAGTGCCACGCCTGCTCGGTTTTGCGACAGTGTCGTGGATAGCGGCCGAGCTGAGAGACCACCCCCTGCGCACCCCCTGTGGTGTCGAGAAAGTGCCACGCCTGCTAGGCTTTGCGCCAGTGTCGTGGATAGCGACCGAGCTGAGAGACCACCCCCTGCGCACCCCCTGTGGTGTCGAGAAAGTGCCACGCCTGCTAGGCTTTGCGCCAGTGTCGTGGATAGCGGCCGAGCTGAGAGACCACCCCCTGCCCACCCCCTTTGGTGTCGAGAAAGTGCCACGCCTGCTAGGCTTTGCGCCAGTGTCGTGGATAGCGGCCGAGCTGAGAGACCACCCCCTGCGCACCCCCTGTGGTGTCGAGAAAGTGCCACGCCTGCTAGGCTTTGCGCCAGTGTCGTGGATAGCGGCCGAGCTGAGAGACCACCCCCTGCGCACCCCCTGTGGTGTCGAGAAAGTGCCACGCCTGCTAGGCTTTGCGCCAGTGTCGTGGATAGCGGCCGAGCTGAGAGACCACCCCCTGCCCACCCCCTGTGGTGTCGAGAAAGTGCCACGCCTGCTAGGCTTTGCGCCAGTGTCGTGGATAGCGGCCGAGCTGAGAGACCACCCCCTGCGCACCCCCTGTGGTGTCGAGAAAGTGCCACGCCTACTAAGCTTTGCGACAGTGTCGTGGATAGCGACCGAGCTGAGAGACCACCCCCTGCGCACCCCCTGTGGTGTCGAGAAAGTGCCACGCTGCTAGGCTTTGCGCCAGTGTCGTGGATAGCGGCCGAGCTGAGAGACCACCCCCTGCGCACCCCCTGTGGTGTCGAGAAAGTGCCACGCCTGCTAGGCTTTGCGCCAGTGTCGTGGATAGCGGCCGAGCTGAGAGACCACCCCCTGCGCACCCCCTGTGGTGTCGAGAAAGTGCCACGCCTGCTAGGCTTTGCGCCAGTGTCGTGGATAGCGGCCGAGCTGAGAGACCACCCCCTGCCCACCCCCTTTGGTGTCGAGAAAGTGCCACGCCTGCTAGGCTTTGCGCCAGTGTCGTGGATAGCGGCCGAGCTGAGAGACCACCCCCTGCGCACCCCCTGTGGTGTCGAGAAAGTGCCACGCCTGCTAGGCTTTGCGCCAGTGTCGTGGATAGCGGCCGAGCTGAGAGACCACCCCCTGCGCACCCCCTGTGGTGTCGAGAAAGTGCCACGCCTGCTAGCCTTTGCGCCAGTGTCGTGGATAGCGGCCGAGCTGAGAGACCACCCCCTGCGCACCCCCTGTGGTGTCGAGAAAGTGCCACGCCTGCTAGGCTTTGCGCCAGTGTCGTGGATAGCGGCCGAGCTGAGAGACCACCCCCTGCGCACCCCCTGTGGTGTCGAGAAAGTGCCACGCCTGCTAGGCTTTGCGCCAGTGTCGTGGATAGCGGCCGAGCTGAGAGACCACCCCCTGCGCACCCCCTGTGGTGTCGAGAAAGTGCCACGCCTGCTAGGCTTTGCGCCAGTGTCGTGGATAGCGGCCGAGCTGAGAGACCACCCCCTGCCCACCCCCTTTGGTGTCGAGAAAGTGCCACGCCTGCTAGGCTTTGCGCCAGTGTCGTGGATAGCGGCCGAGCTGAGAGACCACCCCCTGCGCACCCCCTGTGGTGTCGAGAAAGTGCCACGCCTGCTAGGCTTTGCGCCAGTGTCGTGGATAGCGGCCGAGCTGAGAGACCACCCCCTGCGCACCCCCTGTGGTGTCGAGAAAGTGCCACGCCTGCTAGGCTTTGCGCCAGTGTCGTGGATAGCGGCCGAGCTGAGAGACCACCCCCTGCGCACCCCCTGTGGTGTCGAGAAAGTGCCACGCCTGCTAGGCTTTGCGCCAGTGTCGTGGATAGCGGCCGAGCTGAGAGACCACCCCCTGCCACCCCCTTGGTGTCGAGAAAGTGCCACGCCTGCTAGGCTTTGCGCCAGTGTCGTGGATAGGGACCGCGGTGAGAGACCACCCCCTGCGCACCCCCTTGGTGTCGAGAAAGTGCCACGCCTGCTAGGCTTTGCGCCAGTGTCGTGGATAGCGGCCGAGCTGAGAGACCACCCCCTGCCCACCCCCTTTGGTGTCGAGAAGTGCCACGCCTGCTAGGCTTTGCGCCAGTGTCGTGGATAGCGGCCGAGCTGAGAGACCAACCCCTGCGCACCCCCTGTGGTGTCGAGAAAGTGCCACGAGCTGTGCTGTGCTGTGCTGAGCTGAGCCGTGCTGGGCTGTGCTGATCTGTGCCGAGCTGAGCCGAGCTGTGCTGTGCTGAGCTGAGCTGAGCTGTGCTGAGGTGAGTTGAGCAGTGCTGTGACGAGGGGGGGAAGAGTGAAGTGTGTGTGTGTGTGTGTGAGGGGAGGAAGAAAGAGAGAGGAGGGGAGGTGTGAGGAGACGCGGGTGCGGCGCGGCAGGGAAGAAAACCAGAACCCCACGAAGCATGTGGGGAAAAACATGCAAAAACTCAAAGGAAAACCCCCAACACGGCCATTAGAGCCAATCCGTCCCCGCTACGCCCCCCCCTGGAACCCCCCCTTGAGAGGCTTCGCCCAAAACACAACGTCATCACTCGTACCTCGCTCTTTCCGTTAATCCGAAAACGGCCATTCGACTTTTGCGCCCAGCCCTCGCCCCTCCCCTGGAACCCCTCCCTAGAGGGCTTCGCCCCACAACAACGTCATCACTCGTACCTCGCTCTTTCCGTTAAAACCCGTGGGACAACTACCAAAAACGGACATTAGACCACTGCACTCCCCCTTTCCCCCCCCCCCTGGACCCCCCCCTTTAAGGGCTTCGCCCACACCAGAACGTCATCACTCGTACCTTGCTCTCTCCGTTACCTGCTTGGCATGGGGACGGACAGCGCACTCATTTTGTGAGGGCGCGAGGTGGCTGGCTTAGTGTCTCTTGGAGCCCTGTTGGTGTTAAAGCTTCGGCACGACATAACAAAAATCTAGCAACCGACCTTGCGAAAATCAATATAGATATTGCATTTCCAAGCCTTCCTGGGGGTCCTTTTGGGCTCGCTTGGCCCGTCTTGGGGCCCTTTTTGGCCGTCGCCCTGTCGGGCCGTCTTGGCGGGCTTGGGCCGTCTTGGGGCCCTCTGAAGGCCTTCCTGGGTTCCCATTGGGATCTCCTGTGGCCCCGTTGGGAACCTTTTGGGACCCTGGGGCTCTTTTGGGCTGTCTTGACGCCAACTTGGGCCGTCTTGGGGGCCCTCTGGGGCCGTTTTGGGGCGGTCTTGGGGGCTTCCCGGGCTGTTCTGGATGCTGTTGATACCAAAGAGGCGAGTATGCTAAGCATGTAAATTGGGACGATTTGTGCCTCTTGGAAGTCCCCTTTTGGGGCCTCTTGCAATTAAATGCGTTGAGCATGCCATGCGCTGTGCCTGTTACTCCCTTTAAGCGTGCTTCGGCCTTCCTGTAGCGCACTTGTAACTTGCTTGGCCTTCCCCTTCGGCTTGAGTTTAGCTTGCCGAGGCGCATTTCATCATAACAGGGATACGCCCCAATTGGGGGCGCTCCGCGTTCAATTGCTGCTGGGGGGCATCAAGACATGCTCGCAGCCTCCTGCAGATGGGGGTACTGTAATCTTGGATTCGCTCGGGCCTGGTCGCCGAAGGCGCCGGACATCGACTCCTCTGCAAACTCCTTGGTGCTGTCGGGTGAGTCCGCGCAGCCTGGAATCTCCAGGGGCAGGAGGTGGTGGAAGGTCGTGGACAACATCTTCCAATAGAACAACTCCCACGAGTCTTTGTCGAAACGGGAGTGTCGGCCATCGGCGTGGCTGGTGAGAAGCTCGACCACCTGGCGGTCCAGTTCCCCGGGCACCTGGTCGCTGTTGGGCATGACTCGCGACCACATCTGCTTTATGCTCTGCCTGACCTCGGGCGGCCCCCACCGCACGCATCAGACTGCTCCCTCTCCCTTCCACATCCCCCTGGCCCCTCGTCCCCAGGACACCAGGAGGGAGGGAGGGGGGAGCAAAACAACGGGGCCCAGTGAGGGTATCCCAGACCTCGGATATGCCAACGCGGTCGTTGCCCTTACCGAAAATTGAAAAATGTTTCCCAGCTTGCGCGCGCAGCCTGCCCGGGTCCAGTCGGCACGTCTGTAACCTCCTGCGGTATTCCTCCTGTTCGTCATTCGTTGTAGAGGATGCGTCAATATGCCCAGCAACAAGCAGGGGCGGCTTGAGCGACTGCAACATCTTAAGGTAGAAAAGCTCGAATTCTTTGTGGTTCAACGTCGGGTTGCAGCTCCCGAGGTGTTCGTCGGCGAGTTTCCTGAGGATCGTGGACGTATCCTGCTGGGACCGCAGATGTTTATACTTTGCCGCTCTGCGGTTGACCCGGAGATTGTGTATGCCGAGGCTCGTACATATCGAGCTTATGTATTTAAGTAGGAACGTCTGCTGCACACTCGAATGACTGTACAGTCGGCATGAGGCGCGCAAAACAAAACAATCATAAATGTGTGTGTGTGTACCTACATCCGCCGACACTGTCGGCGTGTGTGAGAGAGAGTCCAGAATCGGTCTTTAATTCGAATTCCTTCCCCCCCAATCCCGGAGGTTCTCCTGAAATGGCGCGCCGAGTTTGAAAAGGGGGCCGGGGGGGCCCGCCCAGAAGATTCGCAATAGGCAAACCGCAAGCTCCAGCTCAGTTGTATCGTATTAGCCATAGTCCCAACCGGAGGAGGTCGTCGCGGGAGCGACGGGCCATCTCAAGCGAAGGATGTTTTCGGTCTCGATGGCAAGTAGTATGCCTTGCAATGAGGCACAATCGCATGCTGGCGGCCGGCCGCTTGAACCCAAACGGCCGCGGACAAACGCTAGCTATCTCTCGCCGTTGCCCCAGCTTACTTTAAATTCGGGGGGGGCGGAGACGAAGCGTGAGTCCGCCGTCTCTGTACAGCAAACGCTATCTACACAGAAGGCAGCAAAAGGCGGTTCGTAAGGAAGGTGAACCCGCAAGCAAGTTGCCTTGCGAGCACGTTGCTGTGCAAACGGCTAATCCTCAGGCGGTCTCAGACGATGCTGTCTGGCCAGCCCGATAAGGAGTATGACGTTTGAAGTCACGCTTGAAGGATGGCGTGCTTCCCATGACCTGTAGGAGCGTATCTCTGTCAATGGTCCCGTTTGTGTGACCGTCCGCGGTCATGTCGCGAGTGTCACACAACTGGATACTATACGCGATTCCGCGCTCCATCATCTGTCGTATCCAACTGATGTGTTCCAAAAGAGTGCACTCAGTGGGCTTCTTCAAGTCTTGGCTGGGCAAAAACTTGAAAGCACATTCAGCAACTATGGTCAAGGTGACCTGAATGCTCCGGCCTCCCAGCTCCAGTATATATTTCAACTGAGTGGGTGCCAGTGGCTCTGCATGGAGTTCTTTCAGAGTCACGATCATGGGATAGCAGTCCTCCAATTTGTGGGCTGATGCTTCTGCGGAGTAGCTTGAGCGGACCTGCAAGCGATGAGACTTGCAGTGCGCATCGATCAAGTGGACGACAGGCTTGCCGGATGGCGTGCTTCCGCGCCGTAGCAGGTTTTCCCTGCGAATGCCGTAGCCTTTGACATCGTCATCGGCATCTCCACTCAGGCGTCGATAGCCGGACTCGCTGCGCAGGTCAACTTCGCTTGGAGTCATCGATCGATAGATGATCCTCTTAGGGCGGGCTTGCAGCTTCTTGATAATCGCGTTCAGGTCGTCGCACTTGTATATGTCGGTTCTTGGACACGTTGTACAGAAACCACATACACCATCAGCCACACTTGTGCGATTAATGCGTAAGCCAACGCGCCTCTGAGGCTGACGAACATGTTAGCAACCATCCTGGATGCTTTGGCGTCGGCGCTTGCGCCTGTGAGTTCAGGGTGTTGTATAGGACGGAGCTGTTTGGTGTATGCATGTTGGTCCAGTGTAACATTGCCGCCCCCATCCTTCGTGTCACATCGCAATTTGTATGCGTATGTTTGATGAGTTTGCACTTTCCGAAAGTGTCCTCGACGCACCTGATGCGCATGTCGATGGTATCCTCAGTGCCGGCCACTCAGATAACATCAACATGTTTGGCTGTGAGCAGGTTGCTGCTTGTCTCGAACTCCTCGTCGTAGGACGTGGGTGGGTCTGAAACCAAAGCCTCTCGTGGTCCTTCTGAGCTTCAGTGAGAAGGCTCTGGGTGCATCCTTGGTGCCGGTGCCTGGCGTGAGGCGCTGCAGGCAGTGCTTCGACTCGTCGCAGTGCTCGAATCCTGGAAGGGATCGAAGCACCGTTGCTGCTCCAGGCGGCAAGGTAAAGCACGCCGCGCGTTCCTTTTCACCGGTTGCCTCAGCAAGTTCCTCGCGGGAAAACCCTTTCAGGGAAAGCCATGCTGATGTCGAGGGAAGCGCTGGTCCGTTGCTTCTTGCACGCTGCCGCGCTTGCGAGCAATCTCTGGCTCGGCCGCCCTCGGCCGCCGTGCTGTTCCGGAGAATGCGTCCGCGTCGAAAGCCTCGAGGTCCATGAACCCCCGAAGTGCCAGGCGTAATCTGATGGTGCGTTCCATCTCGCCCTTCTCGTTCTTTACGAACTTACACTTATATACTTACCTCGATGTCGTGATGTTTGACGCTTTAGATATCTTGCATATTCAAACACTTGTTGTCAAACCATGTCTTGAGTTTGGTATATAGGGCCTTTGATACCTTCACGGGATTCGCCTGAATGTCGGCCTTCGCGAGCATATCGTCTTCCTCGACGACCGCGGCTCGTTTTGCGGCGGCGGTGACATGCGCTCGCATGGTGGTCGCGCGGTCGAAGTCTAATATCCTATGCTGTTCTTCGGATGGGACCACCTCTGACATTTCTCCAGTGAAGCGACAGTTCTACATATTGACACTTTTCGTCCCAGCCCAAACCGTAACTATGGTCTTCGTCCGTGGGGCATAATGGGGCACGATGCGTCTCCTCGATGTCGGAGTCGCGTGGATGACCCCACGTAAGCAAGGCCCCCGCTTTTCTTCAGCTACCGTGACAAGCGCACTGTTGTCAGTGATCATATGTGTGGGTACAGTGTAAAGGTCATCGAATGGAGTTGCCTGTAATAGTTCCCTTTCTTCACGTAATTCTGCGCACCGCACTTCCATGCTATGTGCACAAAAGTCCGCTTCTGATTCCTCAGAGATCGTAGGGGGCCGTCCATCCTCCTGTGGTGATTCGGCTTCTGGGGCCTCTCTGGCGCTATCGTCTTGCGCCGGTATGTCCGCCAGTTCCTCAAACCCTGTCATGTCTTGGACGAAGCCCGCTTGCGGTTTAGTGAACTTTAGGCACTGGGTGATCCTCGAAGGTGCTGATCCAGCTATATCATGCATATTCAGGGCAGTGCCTTCTGCTTCGTAATAGTGGGAGCCTGGATTCACGTCGTGGTTATAATGTACCAATGTGCACCTGTCAGCGAAAGTCACCAGATGTAGCTCATGAGTACTCTTAGCTGACCTAACAGGAACTCGATACGGAAGAAGTTTCTGATAAGGTATTGTAGAGCTAAGTGTGCTTTGGAAGATTGTCGGCTCGCACTGGCCATCTGAATCGATCCCTTTTTGATCGGAACATAGCCGAACGTCATAGCAGGTCTCCCCGCAGAAAGACTGGCAACAAATGCCAACACTGTCCGCAACGCAGTGTTGTCAGAGCCAATCTCTCGGGCTATCAAAGCTTCGATGTATTGTGAATCTCGCGTGTCGCCGCATTGGGCTTGTACATCGCGGTTTCCCACTCGAATAATGACTTGACCCCTGTCGGGATCATTCCGTGCAACTGGGGGCGGGCCATTCCAGCCTCCCCAGTCGCCCCGCGTAGTTGCGGGGCGATGATAGTCGACCGAATGTCATGCTGACTGGTAATGGTTGTCTTGGAACGTAATGCACGATTGGTCTTGGCTACAGCAATAGCTTGTGTGATGGCTTCAATACATGCCTGGCGTGTAACCTGTTCTCGAGAATGATCAGATTCGATTTCTCTGTCGGCTGTTCGTGGTCCAGAACAGGCAGGTCAGGAAGCATTGCCGGTTGCCGTCCAAACAGGGCGTTATATGGAGACACTTCATTGCAGAAGGTGAACGCGCTGGCGGCAAACAAGGCTTCGCGCAGTAGTCGTGTAAATACAAGAGGTACCTCCAACATTTTGAATTCAGTTTCCATGACGCGAAGTAGATGGCGTAACGTGCCGGTTCTGGCTTCAATTGTCGTAGCGTGTTGTCCACGCGCGCGCGTCCTCAGCTCAGTGTTTTTTGCTTTGAGGACCGCCTGTGCAGCGTCGTTATTGAGGGCGCCCCCCCCCCCCCCCCCATCGGAGTAGGGTGCCTTAGCGGGTCCGAACTGCATCCAGCACTGATGATACGCATCTAGGATACTGGTCATTGTTTATCTAGTATTTCCACTCCAGTAGCATATTGAATGCATCGATCAATGATGTGAAATCTATTGTGTTCCTGTTTGTAGAACATCAGGTCGGATTCAACTTCTTCGTTGAACTTGACAGGTCGCGCAGTAGATGGCACAACGGCATGCCCCGGCTTATCCCGAGCCCTGCGCCCCCGACATGCGTCGCAGACGCCTTCGATCAGGTTAAGCCTGACGCTGTCCGGGCCAGCTTTGGTCAAGACGAGTCTCATTTTCGGCTCTTTAGCATGGGGCCATCGCAAGTGTAGCTTCCGGAACTCGCATGTTACCAAGCTTGGGTCAAGGCTTCGTGGAGTTCTGTAAGCTGATTTAAACATCGAACCTTGACCAGTCTGGGAGTCTCGGGCGTGCAGCAGGGTTACCCGCAGGTGGTGGTGGAGGTGGGTGCTCTGATCTGTGGCAATCGTCTGTGATCGTCCGAGCTGCCGGCCCCGCTCGAGGCACGTTGCCCCGCGGCAGGTTCAGCGGCATGTCTGCCCACTGTAATGTGGCGGCTGGCTGGCGCCAGCTGCGGGGCCAACCCCTGGGCCCAGGTCTTGATGCGCGTAGCCGCACAAAGTGTGGTGCGGCCTGTGCCTCGGGTGGTGGTGCTGCTGGCTCCGCAGGAGCCTGTGGTGCCTGCCCGTGGTTGTCGGGCAGCTTCCACGGATTGGCAAACTTTCATGCGCCTGGTGCCCGTAGATGACCAGGCTTGTTCTGGCCGTAATTCTTCTCGCAGCTAGGACATTCCGAGTGAAGATCCTCCTTGCCATGCCACCTGCAATGTTTAGGATCTCTGTCATGTGAGGGGGAATGCATGTTTACTTTATCCGCACATGCAAAACGTCCTAATCCTCCCGAGGGTGGCCGCGTGATCGACACGTCGGGTTGTCGAGGGATACTTGGGC